AGGAGTCTTGGTGGCCTCCTTCACTAGTCTCCTTCTAGTACCTCCTTCAGAGGAGTCATAGGAGTCTTGGTGGCCTCCTTCACTGGTCTCCTTCTTGTACCTCCTTCAGAGGAGTCGTAGGAGTCTTGGTGGCCTCCTTCACTGGTCTCCTTCTTGTACCTCCTTCAGAGGAGTCATAGGAGTCTTGGTGGCCTCCTTCTCTAGTCTCCTTCTTGCTCGGTCTCTCAGTCTCTGAGGACGTCCTGCTCTAGTCAGATCTACTCATGGTCCATGGTCCTTCCATGTCTGAATGATGGATTTAACTGGACTCCAGAGATGTTCAGTAACTTGGAAATGTTCTTTTTTATTCATCCTCTGACTTTTTAATCACCTTTTAATAACCTCGACTGGAACGTCGGTGTGTTTGTGCTCTGAGATGTTCCAGGTTTCCTCCATTAACCAGGCTGGATGCTGTGATGGTCTGACTGGCCTCGATGGAGGAACGTTTGTGTAACTGACTCTGGTCTGTAGAATAGCGATGACCTTTCCGATCGACTGAATCCGGTGGGTTTTATGAGGACGCTCAGACTGTGGAGGAGAATATTTGTCTCTCAGAGGATGAAAAATGACCTGAGAACCAAGAAAACGTTGCCGACGTGTCTGACTGAAAATAAACCAGGTCTGAATTTAACAGAAAGAAAAGTGTGGAGGCAGGTTCACGATAAGAGCGCTCAGTCCTGCTGCTTCTTCTAATGCGCATATTTTTTCTGCTTACTCATATTTGCTTCACTTCTAACAGTGATTATGTTTTTCTCTGCCTCGTCCTCCTCTGAGCTTCACCCATTAGGCCCGTGGCTGTTTGATTAAAATTTGCACCTGACGAAAACATCCCTGAATCCAGTCGGCTGCAGCTCCACAGCGGTGAGGCCAAATAAACAGCCTGCAGCTCGGCGGATAAGAGACACTCGGGAGGACTTTTAAACATCATAATAAGACTCGTGGACACTCTAAAAATAATGGAAAAAAATCCTTTAAAAACAAAGCAAAAGATCATCTGGGTGCTGTAACGCTAAAAAACTAAAAATGTTGACAAAAATCTTAAAAAAAAATATACAGATATCTACAGTTTGGATGTTTTTTGTCATTTTTTGTTTTTTTTAACGTAAAAAAATTAAGAATTTTTGTTTGATTTTACTCGATATTATTATTTATTATAACTATTATTCTATTATAAATGATTATTTAACCAGAAAACTGTAAAATAACATTTAAAAGAATTATTTACCATTTTACAGTCCTCAGTATACATCATTTAACTTTCTAAAAATGGCAAATTTCTGTGAAAAATATAATTTTTCAGATTTAAATACAATAAAAAAAATTGTGGAAAAAGAAATTCATGTTTTAAATGTTTTAAAGGTTTTAAAACAACAAATTTTTTTTAGTAAAAATACAAATTTTTGATGTGGGTATTATTTAGTTTTAACCATTTTTCGTAGATGTTATCTATAATTTAATTAAAAAAAATCGGTAAAACAACAGTTTAAAACAGATTATTTACCATTTTTCAGTCCTTCATGTGAATCATATTTCTGTCTTGTCACAGGAAATATAACATATTGCTGTTTAAAATGTCGTAAACGTGGTGAAACTTTACTGTTAAAAGCTGTAAAATAATTAATTTGCTATTTTCAGTCAGTTTTATTTCTCCAGTCAACATGTAAACTTTGATTTTTCGGTGTGATTTTACGATAATATCTGGAATTTAACTTATTTATTATATGTGAAAATAAACGTTTTTACAGTGTAGCTTGTTCCAGTTTGTTCACAGATCCTCGTTAAGCTGCTTCGTTCTGCTGCGAGATGTTTAATTTGCAAAAACGACACTCGAGAACATCAGTCAGGCTTCGAGTGTCTCGGTCAGACATCTGCAGCTGATAAAGGAGATAGACCCGGTTTGGACGGTTGGACCTGAAACAACTGAACTGTCCTGTGAGCGAAATAAAGAGAAGACGGTTCGATGTGAAGTTATTCGCTGAAGACGAGCTTTCAAAGTCATCGCAGCGTGATGCGAGATGTACAGCAGCCAAAGGGACATCCAGAGAATCAAACACTGCAGGGATGCTGTCACGCTGTCGGCTGCAAGAGGAGAAAATTACCTTCGACCTCTGCAAGACTCCAAAGAACGAGTCCTGCGTTCTGCGTCCACAAAGATCAACGTGACTTAAATTCATGAGCAGTCAAAGTCCTGAAGGAACCGCTTCGACCTCTCAGCAGAAAAATGTGCCAAGACATGCCGTTAAAGTGGAAGTTATGGCGTTAGAATGTGCAAGGCTGGAGTCTACAGGCTAAATTCTGTATATCTTGACACCAAGACCAATGAAATCACAGAATCCTGCTGTGTGAAAATAAATGGGACTGCATATCAAAAATGGCGGCCATTCTGAAAACCCTTTAAACCCTTTGCGTAGCTAATGCTCGTTCACGAAAAATCGCCCAAAGGTGGACACACGGGCCAGTTTTGGTGTTTGTCAAAATACCAAAACCACCAAAACCACCAAACCATATGCTGCATATTTGTCAGATGTGCACTATATTGGATTGGAAATGGCGGCCATCTTGGAAATCCTTTTGAAAATTCACATTATTTTACGAAAAATCACATTAAACTCAGAAGACTTTTTCATTTTGTCACACAAACACCAAAACTGCCCTGTGACTCCACCTTTGGGCGAGTTTTTTTTGCAAACTAACGTTAGCGACACAAAAAGGGTTTCCAAGATGGCCGCCATTTTGGAGCTACATATATTTTCACACAGCGTGATCTCTAACGGCAATTTGCTTGATTTTGGTGTCAAAATACACAGAATTTAACACGTGGAATCCAAATTTGCACGTTCCAACGCGATAACTTACACCTTAACGACATGTTTTGCACCTTTTTTGTTGAAAATATGCATTAATGTGTATCAGTCCGCTGATGTGATGTGTTGAGGTGTAGAGGTGTAGGAGTGGAGGTTCTTACAACAGACCAAACTCTCAACATTCAGCGTTAATGAACATTTTAATCTGCTTTTTAAAATGAGCGCAATGACAACAAACACCAGCTGAAGTCACCATGTTTCTGCTCACAGATTGGTTCTCCTGAAAGCAACAACAAACGTTTTAATTGGCTAATTTTTCAGATTCAGTAACTCTTTATGTTTAACTTCTTTCAGGTCAAACACAGAAACAGCAGGAATGTTTCAATCCTCTGCAGCCAAAGACGTAAGAACTTCGTTACGCCGACGACGCCGTCCTGTTTGTTGATTAGAGCTGGCACCCGGCCAAGTATGAACTCAGGTCCTGGTTCCTGCAGCGATTTCGCCAGGCCACCCTGAAACCAGACACAAGGACGTCATTCTCCACACCTGAAGGTCCGTACAGTGAATCACAGCCGATCTGTTCTTACCAGGCACTGATGCCCTGGGGATCCCGGACGACACGTTTGGCACAGTTGATCGCCACGGCGACGTTACTGGTCAGAAGGGCTGCGAGCAAACAGACAAAAAACAAATTAAACCTCAAAGTACAGCACGTTCAGAATTAGTGAAAAAGCCACTCAGAAATATGAGCTTTTATTAAAGTGCTTTTATGCAAATGGCTGCATTTAATCAAGGATCCAGGTTTTGGTGCAGAAGTGGAGAAAACAATAACATTTAAATAAAGCAGCTTTCACGAGGACTTGACAGTTTCTTAAGTAGCTTCACTCCCAACGACTCATGAGTGTGAGCAGAGGCTGAATACTAAAACTACTGAATCTAAAATATGGTGAAAGCAGACATGCAGGTAATAACGGTTAAAAACATAAAAACTCCGAAGTTATTAAATGCACGATGTAAAGTTTAACAATAGAGTAAAACTGCAGATGTTTAAAGAGTCTCAACTGTTTCATTGTTGCATTAATTTAGTTTAAGGTGAGATTTTACAATCTGGGATCTGCAGATGTGCTTCAATCCGTTGGTCTGAGATCGGCTGCTTTGGTCTTCAAAGTTTTACCTCATTAGAGAAGAAACTCTCGTTTTTCAACGTCAACATTTTAATTGCCTCAGATAATATTAATAATCCAGTAATATAAGGCGGCACTGTGCGATTTATGAGTTTGAAAACAACTTTTAGTAAATTATATTTCACTTTGAGATATTTCATCATCGCTGCTTTTTGAGTCTGAAACTTTCATACAGTAGTTGTTGCTGTGAGGGTTTGCAGGAACCCAGCTGGAACTTTTTTCTGTTCTAAAAACGCTGTGGGAAAGTTCTGCAGCATAAAGTTTTCTTTTAGCGTCCAGAATGTTCTTCATAAAGGCAAGATGAAGTTCTCTAAAGACGCTCTGACAACGTTCTCCTCATCTTATTATGTAATGTTGCAGGAATGTTTAATGGAAAAGAACGTTCTCAACATCCCCAGAACGTCCTCAGAATATTGCAGGCAAAAATGTTCCACCTCTGCTAACATATCAAGTTACAGGAAAACCTCTTGAGAACATTTGGAGAACATTTTGTGAAAACTCCTCTGAATGTTTAAACGTTCTGTCTTAGTTCACTTTAACCTCATCGGAACGTTACTTGAAATGATATTAGATTTGAGTATTGGTTTAAAAAGTTTTCTTTGAAACATTAGTAGAACTTGCAGGTAACGTTACCCAACGGTAACGTTGGGGGAATTCAGCCTTTCAGACTTTTACACGATATTTTGGTCTCCACCAGCTCCTGGTTGTTAGAGCTGTTGATTAAAACGAGCAGAGACACGCTAAAGCTCTGGGGTTTGGTGGGAGATCAGATCAGATCATAGCAGGACGGGAGACAAGAACCTGAACACATGAAACAGAACTAGCGGATCGTCACTGACCGCTGCACTGGATGTTGCATCCGTTAGCCGACGGCGTTTTCCCGTCGGTGCACCACCAGCGACTGTTGATCTGGAAGATGCCGTAGTCGGTGGATCCGTCCGTGTTGTGGTTTATGGCGCCGGTGTTGAAGTTGGACTCCCACCGGGTCAGACAAACCCCTGCAGAACAGAGAGAAAAGTCAACGCCTGCAAACGACGCTGGTCTGGAGGGTCAGGGTGGAAAACGCCCAGCAGGCTGTGAAACAGCTCTGAAGAAGTTCTGGTATCCATACATTCTGAGATCCTTTCATCCTGTGAACACCAACGCTACGTTTACTGTTGTCGACCCAATCTTTAGGTAGCGGTAGCCAAAGGTTATTTCTGTTAGCTTAGCATAAATCATGGAAACTGGTGTTCAGCAATGACCAAAATAAGTGCCAACACCTCTGAATCCTGCTAATTCATCTGCACCAAATTCCACATTAGTCAACCCAGTTTGAACAAAAAGACGTTTCCGTACAACTGAACTGGTTTCTCAGTGAGGTTTTGTGGGAAATGTGTTTTCTGCTGGATGGTGCTGGTTTGTAACTCATCATAAATACGTTTCTCAGCTCCGTATCTTTAGAATTTTAGCTTCACGGTTGCTCCTTTCCAGCCGACCAATCATACGTTAGGCATGGGCGGGGCCGATAATCAAGACTTTAGCTTTATCTGTAGTAAGTTGTAAGAATTTAGGTGCAATCCAGGGCTTGACTGCAGCGCAACGATTCCAAAGTGCAGCTCAGTTGTGTAGAAACACAACGTTGTGTAGACCAGGTGACAGTTTCAGAGGGACCTCAGTGCTGGACTGGTTCTTGGTCTGGAGCCTCCACTGGTTGTATGGAAGTGACTTCAAACCAGGTTAGCAGTTAGCTTCACATTTAGCATAAAAACCTGTTAATGGTTGAACTGCAGCCAAGGACGTGAGCACATAAGTGAACATTGCAAACTTACAGATCAGGGAGCTTTCCGATGTGTTTCTTTGTTTGCTAGGATTTCTGTGGCGTTCCTCCGTCGTGTACGTGTGAATAGTTTGTAGGATTTGTACTGTGTGGTTGCTGCTACTCACAGTTGGCCAGGCTGATGCCACGGTAACCATCCATCCCAGAATTCTTTAGTATCTTGGCCCATGCACAGCGCTCCAAGGCTTCAGCGCCGGTCACGACCACCAAGAACAAAACCAGCAGAGTCCTCATGACGTCTCTCTGAGTGTTTCTGCAGCTGAATGTGAACTCCACCATCCTGCCTTTATTTCCTGCTTTTTCCTTGAACGTCGTCCAGTTTCAACAAAGATGTCGAAACTCGTGTTGCTCCTTTTGGACTCGGGCTGTGTTATCAGCGTGATTATGCACACTGATGTGAAGGCTGAAGCTCAGGTGAAGCTCTGCCACTAAATTATCTGCAGTGAGGAGCGATTAAAGAAAGAAAAGCTGGCGGCAAATTAAAAAAAAACTGGTGAGGCAGCTGTGACAGAGAGTTTCTGGTTTAAGTGTCTAAAACGCTGCAGTAAAGACTGAAAGCTGCTCTGTGGAGTTTTCCTGTAAAACAAACAGAGTTTTTGTTGACTTTCACCAAAACAGACTCACAGACATGTCAGCACTGGTTTCATTTACTCTAACTTCATGTGAAGAACTGGGTCAGGATTTGGGTTTTGAAGACTTTAAAAAGCTGCTTTCGTATCTCGTGGAACATGTGATGGACAAATAAAACTATTCCATCTCAAACCAGCACATTTTTAGAACAGTTTCTCTTGATCGTCTCTGATCCGCCTGAAGCGTGAAATATGGATATTCATACCAACATTTGTGATGTTTTAAATATTTGCTGAGATAAAACTGTTAAAAACTGCCCGTTGACCCACTTTCAGCAGGTTTTCTCTCAGATTGAAGTCCAAGGCTGATTGAACAACAACATCTGATGAGCTGATAAATATTAAAAAGCATCGAAGCCTTTATGGAAAGTTCCGTCTTCGAGCACATTAACAATAAAGCTGATCATCGCTCTGCTTTCTGTCCACGAGGTTTCTCTGGAACCATATTGAAGCATTGTGACTCTATGAAGTCTTTCTAAAAGCCAAACACTCCTGCAGAGAAACCTTGCGGTCATCTCATGTCACAGAGGATGAATCCTCAAAACGTGACTCGAGCTTAGATGACCAAAAGTACGTGGACAACCTTGGGGCCAATGCCATATATATTGCATGTGCTGCAACATTCAGCTGTCCACATACTTTTGACCAGTTAATAAGTTACGTCTGTCTTCTTATGCCAAAAGTATGTGGACACCCATCATCATCATATTGCATATAAATGCAGCTATTACTCATCAACATACTTTGGGACACAGAATATACTTAATTCAATTAGATGGTTTGGAAAAAAGATGTGACAGACGTATGTGGATTCTTTGGGATCAGTTCTATTTTAATCGTAATAAACAGAAACATTCAGCTGTCCACATACTTTTGACCTGGTGTTATACATTTATCTGTCTTTATATTAGTTAATTATTCTGATGTGTGCTCATGCATTTGGTGACAAACCTAATTTGCATGCAGTCTCGTCATCCAACCCTTCAGTATATGTATACCGACCGACAACGCCGACGACCTCCACGTCAGCATCGGCATCGTGTTCGGTGTTCATCGTTTGCACCAGAACACGCAGCAAACTTTCCATCACGCAGTTTGATTTCTGCAGAAACAGTTTGCTCGCAAATCAGCCCGAAAGCCACCAACTGATCAACACTCGTGTGAGATTCAAAAGGATTTATGTTGCGCCTACCCCGGCTCTGACAGAGCGCTGGTTAAACGCACCGTTTGATGAATTAGTTTGCCGTTCTTTCAGGTTGTGTTAAGATAAAACTTATCTTAACACAAAGCTGCTGCTGAAAGCCGAACCCCACTGATGCAGGGAAACAGCGTTCTTTCATAACGTCTGAACTGGTCCACAGTCACAACAAAGCGCTCGCTGAAGGAAGACGATAAAAACACGAAGCAGCAGCACCGAGTTCTGCTCAACGGGAACCTGATCGGAACCGAGCCTGGTTCTCTCGTCGTGTGTTTCTGGTCGGTGATTTGGCAAATAGCCACGAAACTACAGTCATCAGGTGAAGTAAACTGTTGGCTTTGGTCTAATAAACTAATGCAGCCTTCCTATCCTAATATCTCCTAAATGGAACGTTTGTTTTTGAATCTCTCTCCCATCAGACAGTCAATGACCTCCTGACAGCTGAACCTGTTGTGTAAGAACTTGTGCTGACTTTGGGTTTCTAGTGAGAAATTTGGGGATTTCCTTGATTACATCACTGCAGTTTGTTTTCTCAGAGCAGCTTCTAGTGAACATCAGAGGAACTGCAGCTACAGCGTGAAGACCTCTTACATCAGGTCAGTGTTGAGTCTCCAACGACTTCTT